AAAGAGTGTAAGAAGAAATATTGTTAATATTTCTCTTAGCAAGAATATTGTCTTTGCATTATTTGATTATTAAAGTTTCTGCCAGAAAGAAAAAATATAAAATTAATAATTATATTATTGTTAAAAAAATATCTACTAACTTTATTTATGATTAATTTATATTGAAAAATTAGACTTATTATACTTTAAATATAAAAAAAAAAATGAGTAAACACTTTATTTGATCTTAAAAAATATTTTTTCTAGTATCTAGATCTCTAAATTTTAATTTTATTATGCAAGTTAACCTTTTATTATAAATTAACAAAAATTAATAACTGAATATAAGACTAATTTACATAATAGAGTTAAAATATCAAGATTCAAATATAAAAAAAAAAATTAAAAGATCTATCAACTATCGCTATCACCTTTAAATGACCAAATTAGATATTTACTAAAAGAAATTCCTTTTTAACTCAGCTATTTTTATTCACACTATTCAAATTCAAAACTTAAAATCTTCATGAATCTTATTTTACTAAAGGAACAACTTCACAACTTCTTAAAATAAATAAATAATGATTTAAATATGTTTTTAGTTTCTTAAAATTAAAATAAATTTATTTTTAGTTTCTCATATTTTAAATCGATCTTCTAAATCTTTGTAATTTTTAAAAAAATATTTTAGTCCTTATATTCAAATTTTGTTAAGGGACTTGTTAAATATTATTTCATAAAATCTACTTAATGATGTTTATTAGTGAAAATATCACGTTAAATTCAATTGATGTTGCATAACTGTTAAAAGTGTTACTTTCAAATATATTATTGATGATCTAAACAATTAAAATAATCTAATAAATTATAGAGACTAAAAATAACAATTCTAAATTTAAGATAAAAATAAATTTATCCTAAATTTAAAATATTTTAATATATATATATGAATTTTGTAAATTCAACCGTTAGAGTGAAAGTTTTTTACTCTTAGATCATATATACAAAATTTTATATTAATCCAAGATGATTTGATACTTCGTTCTTATAAAACAAAATTGATGTAACATATTTATTTTAAAATATATTAATATATGAACACTTTGATTATCTTTAAACTGTTGTTCAATTTTAACAAAATTTAACATATACAAGTAATAAACTTTTAATTTAACAATTAAATACAAAATTTAAAATTAATATAAAATTAATAAATAGTATAATACTTAATAAAGATTATGCCAATATTATTATAACCTTTATATATATATATATATATATATATATATATTATCGTTGGAGGTAGAGCGAGTACTTAAGAGTTAAGATCCTCAACTTTCTTTGTCCAAATTCATATTTATTTGACCGTAAATCTAGCAGACTTATTTGTCCCGACAACATTTTTTAAGGAGGTTTCACGTGGGACTTGAACAAAGTCTACATAGATTTTATGGGAGAAAGAAGAGGGAAAAAGACATGTGTCCTTCCATGTTTATTATGTGAAGCGTGTTCATCAACATATTATTAATTAGGGAAAATTCATTTACTTTTCTCTTTAGATCTTTTTAAATGATACATGCATTTTTTTATTTTAAATAAATGTTAATTTTTCTTATTTATTTATCAAGGTTGATATATACAACTTTTTAAATAAGATGATATTATTTGTATACTATTAAAAGAGAATAAATTATTAATATAAGTGTTAAAAATTGAATGAGACTTAATCTTTTGTTCAATTCTAACTTCAAATTATATCTTAAATATCATATTTTTTGTGATTTAAAAAAACACCAACTTCAAGAAATAATTTCAAAGAATGAATTGAGAAATTATTATTTTTAAAATTGAAGAATGATGAAACTTTCATAAAAAAGACTTGATATTGCACATAATTAAGAAACAAATGATGGATATGTATATGATTGATAGAATATAAATTAATTTTTTATTTTTCTCTTTTTCTCACTTTAATTAATGATGTTAATTTAAGGGAGGTGATTGGTTTTTAAAAATTAGAGGAGAAATGTGCTATTTAAACAAATCTTAGAAGAAGTAGGTGCAATTTTACCTATTAATTAAATGTAAATCATAATAATTGAACTAAAAAACTGAAAATTAAAATAAAAGACTTTAATATCAATCTAACTCAAATTAAATTAAACTATTTAAGGTTATTCAAAAATTAATCACCAAGTTACATGTTCAATAATCAATAGTAATTTGTCATACTATTACACGGTTACACAAATGGTAATTGCTTAGATCCTTTAAGTACAAGATATAGATTCAATTTCTTACTATAACTAAAACTAACAATTTTTAACTAAGCGAATAGATCAACACTTATGGAGAAGGAAGTGACTTCTTACATTTGATCTACTAGAAGTATCCTTTAATCCACTAGGTGAAAAATTAATTTTGTTCATCACATATTCTAAATTGATAGGTTTTCACACATGATAAGGATCAAATACAAAATATTTTACTGAATAAATCATTCACATAATGTGTAAGTATAAAGTATCTAACTATTACACCAACTTTTTTGAATAGAAGTGACTTCTTAGTAATGGTATTCTACTTTTTCAAGAAATCAATACCATGACTCCCAATTATGGGGATACCTTGCTTTCAAGAATAAAGAATTTGTTAAATGTTTTTTTGTTATCATATTATAAGTGTAAAGTATCTATCAACTTTATTAATAAATAATTTTCTTCAAAGAGCCTAACTAAATCATTTTTGGTAGAGTTTTCCCTCTTTAATTTTAGTGGCAAAATTATTAGATTATCTTCAACATACAACTTGAATTTAATTTTTAAATTATGTTGAGTTATATATATATATA